TTCACACTTTGATATTTTACTAAAACTTGATGTATTACGTGCAATTATTAATTCTCGTACACATAACAACGTAACAAAAACTTATCAACGCCCATTCTTGCGGTGGAAATTGATTCTTCGGTTCTAAATTTCTTGTAAACAATTTGTTCAGTTCACTAAGTAAACATGCAAGCGTGTACCATCGATGGTACACGTGGCACGGATCGTGTTAATTTACCTCGATCCATACGTTCTCCATCGAAAGTTCTCTTTTCTTGGACGATGGTTAAAATATTTTTAACCGGCAAATTTTTTTCAACGAGACTGGAGGACGCATCGATTACAAATTTGGCGAGAATCTTCGCCGATTGTTGACGGATGCGACAATATTTTTTTATGCACACATCTTCGATGTACAGTAAATTCTTTTTAATTTTTCTCCAGCTTGTAAACAAAAATAGACAATTTGGGAAAAGGAGATACGATTATTCGAGCCTTTTGTAATTGTTGACAATCGGCAAATGAGCCACAAGATTCGAATAATCGTATCTCCTCTTCTCAAGTTGTCCATTTTTGTTTGCAAACTGAAGAAAAATTTGGAATTTACTATAAATCAAATTCGTTAGAACTTCATCCTACCTATATGAGACTGAAGCATGTTACGATAAAAGATCTGAACTATTTTAATACAAGTAGTTAATCATAAATAACTATATATACAAATTTGATTTAATTATTAACAATTGACCTGGAACACCGGTGACGGTATAGATCTAAATTCTAAGAATGTCACTTTTGCGAGGATAAAATTAAATCAATCTAATTCGATAGAAGATTCATTACCCGGCTTCTACTTCGAAAAGGAGAAACGTCCATTTGCGGAGGTCTAAAATAAATTTAATTGCCACATTATTCCCAGGTGCGGCCAGCAACCGGACAAAACTAGCAGTTTAACTCGGTAGCTGCGAAATTACTCGAGAAAAATCTATATTTGCATAATGACCCGAGACATTCTTTTTTCGCGTGCGAGCGAACGCTTAAATATTACGAAATAGCTCGCGTGGAGAACTTGCGAGCAGCATTCTGACAACACGGAGAACCGATAGAGTGGCGAGGAGAGGAGAGGAGAGACGATTTTCGCGGAGAGGAGGAGAACAAAGTCGCGTTTCGCCCGGAAATCGTGCCGTATGCCGGACTAATAACCGGTTTAATGTATTCTTCGGGCGACGCGGCGGAAAAAAGGACGCGTGCAGAGGAAAGAGAGAGAGAGAAATGGCCGTTCCATAAATGGATTAGTTCCACGACGGCGAGAGAGGCAACGTTTTCCAGGAAGAGTCGCGAACTCGGGCGAAAAAGTCGGCGCGAAAATTGCATCAAGCCCGCGCACGAATGTCGGGCACGCCATTCAAATCGGCCCTTGAAAACGGCGAACAGCGCGCGTTCCACGCGACGGAAATAAAAGCACCGGGAAATTCCGGGCCCGTCTTTCCTAAACCAACAACGTCGCGTCGACCAAAACGGAAACGGGCTTCGAGTGTCCGACGGTTATTAATCCAGCACTCGGCGACGAACTCGACGAGCCTTCGCTCGAAAAATCGGCGCGCGCGTGTTTTCGTTCCTGCACCCGCCGGCTCGCCGAGCACCGAAAAAAATGTTGCTATTTATCGTCGCGGGAATGACGCCGCTCCGGAGAGACGCGAAACAAGCGTGCGTAACGANCGTGCCGAGCTTTTTTTACTCGAATCTTCACACTTTGATATTTTACTAAAACTTGATGTATTACGTGCAATTATTAATTCTCGTACACATAACAACGTAACAAAAACTTATCAACGCCCATTCTTGCGGTGGAAATTGATTCTTCGGTTCTAAATTTCTTGTAAACAATTTGTTCAGTTCACTAAGTAAACATGCAAGCGTGTACCATCGATGGTACACGTGGCACGGATCGTGTTAATTTACCTCGATCCATACGTTCTCCATCGAAAGTTCTCTTTTCTTGGACGATGGTTAAAATATTTTTAACCGGCAAATTTTTTTCAACGAGACTGGAGGACGCATCGATTACAAATTTGGCGAGAATCTTCGCCGATTGTTGACGGATGCGACAATATTTTTTTATGCACACATCTTCGATGTACAGTAAATTCTTTTTAATTTTTCTCCAGCTTGTAAACAAAAATAGACAATTTGGGAAAAGGAGATACGATTATTCGAGCCTTTTGTAATTGTTGACAATCGGCAAATGAGCCACAAGATTCGAATAATCGTATCTCCTCTTCTCAAGTTGTCCATTTTTGTTTGCAAACTGAAGAAAAATTTGGAATTTACTATAAATCAAATTCGTTAGAACTTCATCCTACCTATATGAGACTGAAGCATGTTACGATAAAAGATCTGAACTATTTTAATACAAGTAGTTAATCATAAATAACTATATATACAAATTTGATTTAATTATTAACAATTGACCTGGAACACCGGTGACGGTATAGATCTAAATTCTAAGAATGTCACTTTTGCGAGGATAAAATTAAATCAATCTAATTCGATAGAAGATTCATTACCCGGCTTCTACTTCGAAAAGGAGAAACGTCCATTTGCGGAGGTCTAAAATAAATTTAATTGCCACATTATTCCCAGGTGCGGCCAGCAACCGGACAAAACTAGCAGTTTAACTCGGTAGCTGCGAAATTACTCGAGAAAAATCTATATTTGCATAATGACCCGAGACATTCTTTTTTCGCGTGCGAGCGAACGCTTAAATATTACGAAATAGCTCGCGTGGAGAACTTGCGAGCAGCATTCTGACAACACGGAGAACCGATAGAGTGGCGAGGAGAGGAGAGGAGAGACGATTTTCGCGGAGAGGAGGAGAACAAAGTCGCGTTTCGCCCGGAAATCGTGCCGTATGCCGGACTAATAACCGGTTTAATGTATTCTTCGGGCGACGCGGCGGAAAAAAGGACGCGTGCAGAGGAAAGAGAGAGAGAGAAATGGCCGTTCCATAAATGGATTAGTTCCACGACGGCGAGAGAGGCAACGTTTTCCAGGAAGAGTCGCGAACTCGGGCGAAAAAGTCGGCGCGAAAATTGCATCAAGCCCGCGCACGAATGTCGGGCACGCCATTCAAATCGGCCCTTGAAAACGGCGAACAGCGCGCGTTCCACGCGACGGAAATAAAAGCACCGGGAAATTCCGGGCCCGTCTTTCCTAAACCAACAACGTCGCGTCGACCAAAACGGAAACGGGCTTCGAGTGTCCGACGGTTATTAATCCAGCACTCGGCGACGAACTCGACGAGCCTTCGCTCGAAAAATCGGCGCGCGCGTGTTTTCGTTCCTGCACCCGCCGGCTCGCCGAGCACCGAAAAAAATGTTGCTATTTATCGTCGCGGGAATGACGCCGCTCCGGAGAGACGCGAAACAAGCGTGCGTAACGACGATAACGAAGACGCCACGCCACCATTCAAATTGAATTTAATGGCTCGAAACGGGGAATGCTGTTTCAACTGCCAGATTTTTGGCTGCGCATTGTTTATTACGCGAAACGTATTGTCCGCCGTTACCATTGTTTTCCATTTAGTTTTTTGATATATTTTCCTTGCCGCGTTGCCTCCCGCGTCGCGGGTACTTTATTTTTGTTTCATTTGCTGCAAATTTCATTCCGCGCGAAGTTTGCTTTGTTAACGGAGTTTTGATTAATTTTTAATTGCTACAGGGTTTTGCGTGACATTGTGCTTACCAATATTCGATGCGGCCGGTCGAAACGAGTTTCCATTGTGTACGCAATCGTTCACTCATTGGTGCAGAAAATTTAAGTAATTTCTAACGGATCCTGCGTTCTATGCTCGACAACATTGTGTACGCAATGTTTGATGCAATCGGTGCAGAGGTTTATGCAATTTCTAATTCGTTTCGTGCAACATTGTGTACACATTTGAGACGAGTTCGAAAAAGATGTGGTAATTATTACCGTTTCGTTAAAATTATCATATTATCGAATAACACAGACATAATGAATATCATACGGACATCGTACAACAATTTTCCCGTAATCTCATTACCGTACAACTTTCCGTTTCTTTGTAAAAGAAACATCAGACTCGACATTGCATCAACGTATTCAGTGTCCTGACAATGTAAACGAAAGTGCGGTAGCTTCTTAACACGTTAAGCGCCGAAAAACAACCCCTAAAATTCCCATAACGTCGAAACAATTTAATCAATGGAACCGAAACTAGAAAGTTAAAATTGACCATAGCGGATGACATTAGAACGCTTTNTTCGTTAAAATTATCATATTATCGAATAACACAGACATAATGAATATCATACGGACATCGTACAACAATTTTCCCGTAATCTCATTACCGTACAACTTTCCGTTTCTTTGTAAAAGAAACATCAGACTCGACATTGCATCAACGTATTCAGTGTCCTGACAATGTAAACGAAAGTGCGGTAGCTTCTTAACACGTTAAGCGCCGAAAAACAACCCCTAAAATTCCCATAACGTCGAAACAATTTAATCAATGGAACCGAAACTAGAAAGTTAAAATTGACCATAGCGGATGACATTAGAACGCTTTCGTATCCGAGACATCCTAATTAAATTGTGATTGTTCGAATATATTATATATAATTATTTATATATATATTTATATATTTTTTATTATTTATATATTATTATATTATTATTATTATTTTATTATTTATATATTATATATCGTATATCAAAAATTAGTGTCACCCATATGTGGTCGACGCGGCGCTCAACGTGTTAAATACAATTGTACAGTAACATTTTCCACAGAAATTCCAAATATCTCTCAGAATTCGATTAAATTCAAAATGGCTGTATATTAAAATCTTACTTGCACTCGATCACGTGTAACCTATAAAAACCTCCGAGCAAACATTACGACCCGTAATCTGTGACCCAGGAGACTGAACACGTGATCCATGCCATGCGGAAGTACAAATACGAGTCAAAGAGAAAAGCGAATGTTTCTTATTTACCATTCGATGCTCCTGTATCCTCTCAGACAGCAGTGAAGAGCCTTGAACGCGTCGATGTTCGCATACTCGGTCGTGACGACCTCCTTGGTGAAGCTCAATCCTCCGGGCAAGTTGTCGAACTTGTGCATCGAACAGTAGTCCTTCAATTCGTTAGCATCGCAAGCTGAAACCAGGAACGACAGCAGCACAAGACCCAGCTGCGCCGGTCGCGTCATCTTCGTCGATCTCATCTCGAAGGAAAAACAGAATCGCGGGACGGGGTGCGGGTCGGTTTCAAAAAAGCGCGGGCTTCTGAAGAACCGCCATCACCGTGGCGCCGGTTCCCGGAACGGAGGATCTCGTTTCACACGACACCGTTGCTCTCCGCGAACAGAAAATCAAACTGAATGGCCGTGAACGTCCGCGGACGGGAAAGCGCTAACCGTGCAACTATACCGGGGACGCGTACACGCGAGCTTGACCGATCCGTTTGTTGTCAAACACGAACTCTCGATGTTTACTCGGGGACCGCGACCGTTATTTCCGCGCGAAGCAACTCGGCGGTTGCACCGTTTAATCAACGAACTCTATCGTCGATTTGCAAATTGGATCCTGTCGGTCGGAGGTCACGATGTGATTCGGGTATCTGCGGAGTGTACGATCGTCGAGGTTGTGTCGCTCGATTTTCACACTTGCCACTTGTCACGAGACTGCACTAGACGAAACAATGTTGCTGCTCCCGGTAGCACCGGCGAACGAGAAAACAATAGAGAGAGAGACAGGTATGCGTGCTTTCACCGTGGAACTACTTTGTTCGAACTGCGCGAGAGATACACACGCTTTGGAGGCCGCCGGCTTACTGTCAGCCAACCGCTTGGAAAACTCCCCGTAGGCCACGGGTTTAAAACGAGCCGCCTGTTGCCTCGTACATCTTCGCCTCCTGTCGGCGATCCTCGGCGTTCCTACACGGGCCGCCGCCACCGCCGCCGCCGCCACCGCCACCACTCGCCGCCGCTCGCCGCGCCGGTTACGAGCGTTAATACACTCGCAGCTTTTGTGTACTCCTCGAAAGGGCACTGTTTCCCGCCACCTTTTTTCGCTGGAACTTTTCGTGGATTCGCGAGGCGATGTGCGAAGCAGATGTTACGAGAACTCCTCGACCGTTTTATCCGTCGGATCTACCACGAAAAGTCCCGGGAGATGGTTCTTTTGGCCCTCCGCGATGTCGATGAACGCGCCAGCATGGCGAGTACCGGTTATTCTTGGTTTGTTCAGATGGAACTTATGCGGAGATAATGGGCGAATTGGTAAGTTTACCTACAAGTAGGATACGCCGTTCTGGGAATTTGTGTATCGCGCATTCGAGCACGATGTAGGACACTGCAACGGTAAATAAGGTGGACCGATTCCTCGCTTGGTACATTCCACTCCATAATTTCTTGATTACAAGCTGGTCAAGCGTAATCAGTCTTTCCTGGAAACGCTTTTTACTTGGCACTCCGTGTTTTACATACTGCAATATGCGATTCACTGACGTAAATGCGTCGAGACGTGCCGGGCGACAACAACGATGTTTTATTCATGGGACGATCGGCAGCCATTTTGCCCTTGCCGGACGAAAATTAGTAGGAAGTTAAGCCCCTTTAGCGACTATTTATCGTGTGCTGTGGTTAACTGTTCGTCGAAACGGTTTAGAAAAATCGAGACAGAAATAGATCGTTTAAATTTAGATGTCCAATGTTGCAGAACGATAGAGACTTGACGATGGTGGTGCCACTTCTAGTACAGTCGTCATTATGATACCGTCTGTCTACCGCCATATTGAAGGGGTGAGAATCAGTTCTACAAGAGGATGAAGACGTTTTATTAAATATCTGAGGAACTAATGAAGCTGGAGAAACACGGTGAGCAAGAAACTGTGCACTTTTCAATGAGAAATACAACTGCATAATCAGATTGCAGAAACGTCTACTTGTTCAAGTGACATATTGAAATGAGGAAGTTGTGGTTAAGTCTCCTAGATAAATGGTTTAGCATGTACTTATTTGATTGCAGATCCTAAATGTATTTCCACGATGTATTTTCTAAGTGTTGAAGGTTGTCCCTGCGACGGACGTAATATTTTAAATTAGGGTATTACATTGTTGTATGATGAGCTGCGTCGCATCTAGCGAAAGAATGCGACGACTGTCTACTATCTGCGTTGCCTTTTTCTTGAGGCTCCAACGGCCAAAAATTTTGTTTTTTAGTCAGTTGCCTGCGGACGAGCGAGGTGTGTAGTTGTGCCTACCGAACTATCACCCTTAATATCGATTAGCTTTATGTGCGTTTCCTTTTCTTTGTTTCAATAAAAATTAACTCTGTTACAATTATTTGCGTTGCCTGTAAAAATTCAACACTAAGCCAATAGAACTATTAAAGAATATACATTATGCTCACACATAAAAATTATTGTACAGATGATTTCTTAAGTCTTCCAGCCAAATGCTTGTCCATCTATGGTATATACACATAGCTGTTTCTATTATCAAGCGAATGTTATATTTACAAGAACAAGATCGTCAGAAATGTTAACTAGAATCTGGTACGTCTTCCGCACATTATGCTTGCGCATAAAACATACTGTACACGAAACAATGAATTTTTTTTCAAATGCTTTACAGGTTTATAGGTGAAGTTTTACTGTTACACTAATGAAAACACAGTTTCACCGCATGGGAACAAAGGAAAGAAATGGAAATGTAGAAAACAAATATGTGGACGTATACCTGCTTCTTCAAATTCGTAGTTGACTCATTCATCTGTTATAACAGCAACGAGTTAACTCGTCATTGCCTGTTGACAGGTTAATAGCACGGTACAGTTTAAACAGACATGTGAAAAAGACAAGTCTCTTCCCGGTACTCGTAGCTGGTCGCGCCGGCGCGGCGGTTTTTCTGTCTGTTCCCCGTTGTTGTTTTTTCTCCCCATCGCGGGCAGAATTTTTGCGAAGAAGCAACCGTGCAAACTTCAGCCGGGGACCGGGCGACTAGGTGGTCCGGTTCTGTTTGCCTTGCTCCTACTCGACGCTCGAGCGCAAATAATTGAAACAACGAGCGTGCGTGTACACGAGCGAAAACAAATAAAACTGGTCGGGGGCACGCATATTTTTACGACGCAGCGCAACGAGCACCTTCAGCTCGCGACGAAACGCGTGCTAATTTCGTCCGCGCGTTCTTCGGAAATATCGCGATAGAAATTCCAGTTTCGAGTCCGGGGCACGTTGCGGCCATCAATTGACAACATTCGAAAAAGTCACTGTTTCGTATTTATTCAAAACTACGAGCACGATGCGTTAAAATGTCTAAATAATCATATTCAGCAACATAACCTTGACATAACCCCGACCTAACCGTGTCCTCTACACTTTAGGTAAGGTTTTAAAAAAAAACGGCTCAAAATATCCTGGGATTCTTATTCCGACATATTCGTCAGACAGTACATTTTGATACTATAAAAACTTTTTATTGCGAAAAGTTGCAGTCTTCAGAGTTATTTAACAAAATGAACCGGTCGTCAGCTTGATACGCGAATATTTGCTTATAGAAACAGAAGATTTGATTATTCGATAAAAAATAAAACAAGAATTGTTTTCATGAAATCGTATGATGTTTTTTTTAGACAAATCGATGCATCTTTGTATTTTATTTGATAAATCATTTCATTGAGGTATTTCGGTCGACAATCGATTAGCTTGGAAGTTGTGATTTTTGTTCCGGACGCTCATACAATAAACGCCGCACAGTGCGGGGCCTCGATTAAAGGCGACGCCGTTTCCGCGAACGCGATAAAATTTCGAATTTATGTGTTTAACGACAACGGGGGCGGATAAGATTCCGCTCAATGCCATTTTTACACATTGTCTTCCGAGAACTGAGGCTTTCACCGTTTTGTAAGCATTGGATTCACATTTTTCGGAATACGCGCATATGTACATAATGTATTCAGTTAGATAGCGGAAGATTTACAAGTTCTTTCGGCAAGATTGTTGAAGATGCTGTTTCATGGATCAGAAGCTAGGAACAACGTTCCGCTCGTAGGTCGATAAAACGATTTACAAAAATTGTGTAGCATGTTTTAGAGTGTCGTTCTATAGGCAAAACTTCGATCTTCAGATCTATGATAAATTGGGCGATCGAAACAATTTTTCAACGATTTTAAAAACATTTTAATGTAATTCATATTCTAGAAAAATCGTTTCGTCATTTTCTTAACCCCTTGACATACTATTCTCTTCGCAGTTACTCCGATTAGAAATTTTTCGATTACCATAATTTCTTAGAAGGAAAAGAAAATTGATGCTTATTGTGTGCCTAAATTTACTCGAATGCTTAAATATCGATGACAAGAGATGAGAATTTCATTCAAATTTTAATGGGCAGAATAACATATATACTCAATAAGTTATTATTAGAAATTTTCACGACGAGTCGGACTTATCAAAGTACGGCAAATACATACATCATACAAAACTTCTTAGAAATTGTAGTCCTAATTTTAATCAAAGTAGTTACGAAAGAAATCGTAGTGCAAGGGGTTGACGTAGCTGATATACAAAATGGCGGCGCTAAAGAAGTTCATGGAAATTGCTCCCAAAATGTATCCCGCGTGTACAAACAATAGCAAAGGTCGGGGGGATAAACTATAGCGAAGTTTGATTCCCGTCGCGTTCAGGAAATTCCGCGTCCGCCCACGCACGCCCCCGAAATCCTGCGAGACCCCGCGAGTTTATCCTGCGGTGATCTGGAAACGTAATTATTATCTCCGGGAGATTTCGCTCGCGACACCGAGTTCTATTTCGGACGGTGGTTTAATCCGCGATATTACGGTCTGCTCTCTTTTATTTTCAGCGCGGCAGCGTTCTCCGTCGTCGCGCGGTCTCGCCTCTTTGTCTCGCGCCCGGTATCGTTTCTCGTTATCAAAGCTCGATTCCTTGGAACTGGGCGTCGCTCTCATTATCCGGTTTCGAACGTGTGGCTGCTCGTCGCTCGTCGTCGCTCTACCGCGTCGGTGTCCGTGATTTGGCAGCGACCAAGACACAGAAAGCCAGTCGTTCCCATTTGTTGGCGGCCCTCGCTGACTAGCGTTCCCGGAATCCGAGTATGCGGTCAGTCGTTTCGTGTCGTGTGGCAACGATTATGCCGGATGATCGCGGCTCCGAGCCGTGTTTACGCGCGCGAACGATCACCGGCCAGCCAGCGCGACAGCCTCTTTTTATTCGAGACGCGACAAACATCATCCCGATGTAATCGGATCGGTTTAAGATGCAATTAATAACGAGTCTCGTTTAATAAAACCCCACGCCCGTGGCTCGGCGCAGCTGCTAATGATCGGGGCCGAGATAAAGGATCGGAATTACGGCCGGGGATCACGGATCGCGCGTAGCCACCGGTATCGCCGAGCCGATTTTCGTGCCGACGGATCGGCCATTTTTACTGCGGGATTACACGCTCGAAATCATCGTCTCAGATATTTTGTTTCCCCCCCCCCTCCCCCCACCCGAGATTCCGAAGCTACCTTTGCGCCTACAGCTATTTCGGTCCCATATTTCGGGCAAGACGAATTGCTGAATTCTCCTAACCCACATTGTTGTTCGCTATGAAATCCTTTCCAAGAGCTCGCGCATTAGCCCCTTTTCTGTTGCTGCAAGCTATTCTCATCTCGTGCATCATGCCTCGAATTATGTCACCATTGTCCGACGCGTTTGCACGAAAATACGAAACGGCTTCGATCTGAATTCGCTTCGACGAAAGAAACGCCGTCGAATCGTTCAATTACGAAAATCCTTGCATTTATATCGTTCGGGGTTGCTTCACGGAAACGATTGACAGAAAAACCGGCAAGTATAGAGATTCGAATCCTAACTTCACGGTTATTTACGTGGATACGTCATTTGTTCGACGAAAGAGATAATTTGTATTTACGGGTGGCTACGTTTACTTGAATTCTAAAATATATATTAAAAATATTTAATACAATTTTACTCCGACTTGAAGATACGGAATAACATTCGCGTTTAACAGATTATTGCTAGGTATCTGAATAGATATCTTAGATAGACTGAAAATTGTTGAAATTACAAAGAGACTTTCATGGAAAATGATCGAATAAATTTCTTGATCGCAATCATACATTTCCATAAAAACTGCGAGAGATCGAAATAAATACAGCATTTTCATCGTAATAAAGCAATAAACGTTAGTTAGTCAGGCTTTCAAAAATGCACGAGGCCGTTTTCATGGCGATCTGCGTGGACGTAGGTCAGATCGAATCGAAGGACAACGCCTGATCGTTCCGCGAGCCGTCGCCGTTTCTTGGCCGCAGGAAAAACAGTTTTTGCGCAGGCAATATTTTCCGTGGCGGTGATTTGTCGCGCGCCTCGGACGGATTGAATTTGACACGGTTGATTGATCGTCACCTCCCTTGACACCTCGTTAAGGCGACACTTTCGACGCCGCGTCGCGTCGCTGCGAGCGTTTCGCTCCTTCCCGCGCGACGCCGTTGAATTTTCGACGACCCCTTTCGGATCCGCTCACCTCGCCGTTCCTCTCCGACAGCGCATTAAAGATAGTCTCGCCGAGAACTGAATTCCCGCGCATAAACTCGATAATCTCGATAGCTGCTGCTTGATTGAATATTAACGCGTTCGCGCCGCCATACTGCAAAGAGTCTCTTTCCTCTGCTCGGGCCGACTTTCGCAAAATCGATCTTTTCTTAACATCTTGCTCTACGAATCTCTCGCGACCACAACGGCTGGAAAATTGTATGTCCGCGAAGGATCTTAACCCTTTCCACTCGAAGATATTTCAAGATTCGCAGTCTGACAACATGTTGACCTTTGAGACACACGTATACAGCGTGTCCAAAAAATGTCTCGTAATCCGGAAATGGGTTCGTCAGATCGTTTGAAGCAACTTCTTCCTTTACAAAAATTTTCTCCGAGGCACCGTTAACGAGTTATTAACGAAAAACAGTGACCAATAAGAATCGAGTACGGCTGACGCGAGGCGGCCCAGCCAACCAGCGCGCGAAGCCCAGTTCCGCTCATTGACTTGGTCGCCTCGCGCCAGCTGAGCTCGCCTCTCATTGGTCACTGTTTTTCGATAATAACTCGTTAACGGTGCCTCGGAGAAAATTTTTGTAAAGGAAAAAGTTGCTTCGAATGATCCGAAGAACCCGCCACTTTCGGATTGCGAAACATTTTTGAGACACCCTGTATATACAGTGACTCGCATTAATATTCGGACACGATATTGTTACGAGAATTATTGTTCCTTTTTATTGTTTATGATAGTATTATTGAATCAATTGTTTTCTCATATAATAAAGCACTTCTTAATGTAGGTAGAAACATAAATTTTGTTTATCTATTGTGACAAAATTTAACGTCGCAAGAATATTCGGAGAGTGAATGAATTACATTAATTTTATGTAAAATGAAAATCTTTTTAATCATGTTATCGATTCAATTCTGTATTTACTTTACGCCACGGTGGAATGATGTAATACTTTCGGATGAAAGCAAATTTAATCTTTACAGATCCGACAGTCAACAAATGGTGTGGTGTAAAGTAAATAAAGAATTAAACATTTCAAATTTAAGACCGACAGTGAAACACGGTGGTAGAAGTATAATAGTGTGTGGTTATATCTCGTCTGTAGGTGTAAGTGAACTATTTTTTATCGATGGTATTATGGACGAAATGAAGTATTTGGACATTTAAACAAACAAATTTAATTACAAGTGCTATAAATATGGGTATACGTACAGTTTTAAGTTTTATCAGGACAATAATCCTAAACACAAGGCCAGAATTGTACAGGAATATTTATTATACAATTGTCCAAAAATACTGCATCCTCCTCCTCAATCGCCTGATTTAAATCCAATTGAAAATTTATGGGATCAATTGGACCGCAAAATTCGCGCAACACCTACAAAGACAGCAACAGAGATAAAACAACGTTTGTTAGACGAATGGAAACGGATTTCGCCGGATGATTTAAATAAAATCATCTGTAACATGCCCAAGCGATTACACGAAGTAATAAAACAAAAAGGTCAACCGACAAAATATGAATATTATGATAACACGATTAAAAAGATTTTCATTTTATATAAAATTAACGTAATTCATTCACTGTCCGAANTAATAACTCGTTAACGGTGCCTCGGAGAAAATTTTTGTAAAGGAAAAAGTTGCTTCGAATGATCCGAAGAACCCGCCACTTTCGGATTGCGAAACATTTTTGAGACACCCTGTATATACAGTGACTCGCATTAATATTCGGACACGATATTGTTACGAGAATTATTGTTCCTTTTTATTGTTTATGATAGTATTATTGAATCAATTGTTTTCTCATATAATAAAGCACTTCTTAATGTAGGTAGAAACATAAATTTTGTTTATCTATTGTGACAAAATTTAACGTCGCAAGAATATTCGGAGAGTGAATGAATTACATTAATTTTATGTAAAATGAAAATCTTTTTAATCATGTTATCGATTCAATTCTGTATTTACTTTACGCCACGGTGGAATGATGTAATACTTTCGGATGAAAGCAAATTTAATCTTTACAGATCCGACAGTCAAC